AATACTTTCAGCATCACATATATTCTTTAAGTTTATAAACTGTGATAGCTGACTGATCTAATATTAAGTTCTTTACTAAGATCTTTGTTTTGCTGATAGTTAAGAAGATTGAACAGCTTTCTTTTCATAATCTTCAGAGTCAAATGCTTAGTAGAGAAGAAGAATTAAGACATGACTTTTTCAATCTGATCTGTAACTCTCTTACTCACATTATTATCAAATATTTATAATATTATCTTTCTCAATAGAAAATCCTCATACAACAGTACACTCAACATCTGAAATATTTATACTTATACTGAGTGAGGTTGTTATCATCATGATTTGTATTTTCAATGTTGATTTTATAAACTTCTTAAAGTGAATATTCTGATTCACTTCAGACACTTAAGATATGAAATACTGAATAATGTCATTAATGAAAGTGATATTAGTATTATTAATATTCTATCTATTATTCTGATAGATCTGAAGAAGTATTAATTAGAAATATTACACTTTTTATTGAATCTTGACATGACTGTCAATAAAGATAATAATCTTTAAAATATATTAAGATATGATCTTTTCATCTGTATTAATGATCTCATTCAATCAAAACTATAATATATCATAGAATACAAGTTTACTGTGTAGAATTAGATATACACTGATAAAGATATCAGAATAATTGATGAAGGTTTAAATAATCTAAGTTTATTATAAGTTTACATTAATAGAATGAAATTCAGTCTCTTAAAGAATGATATTCTCATCATTACTGCTGAGAATTACAGAACAGTCAAATCAGACAATATTCTTATAAAGAAGCAATCACAGATACTTCAGTCTAACAAACTGACTACAGAATTGACTTCACTGTGTGATAAGATAACACTTATTAATAGCTACAAGCTCAATCTTTTCTTATAAAATAGAGTCTTAAAGAACATGCTGAAATTACTTATAAAGAGCTTACTCTGAACTGAGTAGTATATATATATACTCACTCTGTTAAATATGTTTAAGTAAGTCTTCTTATCTCTGAAGATTATCAGCACTGATCAGACAAGAATTGACACTGAGAAACTGTGTTATATATCTTATTTACTGATTATTAAGCATATTTAGAGAAATCAGTTAAATAATTATCTTTTCTATCAGAATTGTATAGAATTGAAGAATAAGACTCTTTTTATAGTCAGTTCTGACAATGAATAAAGTGTTACTATATTCATATATCATGTACTGAAGTATACAGACTTATTCTATATATATTAAAGAGTACACTCAGAAATCTGAATATAGATCTTGAAGTATTTATTGAAGATAATACTGATGGAGCTTGAGTTAGGGTAATACTATCTGATCTGATATAGCTCGATATAAGAATATATATCTTCATATTCATTAAAAGTATTTACTTTAATAATGACTTTTAAAGCTGCTATTGTAGCTGACTTGCACATTTTCTTCAATTCTTTTTAATTATATTTGATTTAGTTAATCAGATGTTGTCTGACTCAGCTGTTAAAAAGAAATGTTATATAATTGATTCAGAAGTTATCAGAAGATCTCAGAAGTTATCAGAAGTTAATATACTATATAAGATTATTCAGAGTTCAGAAGTTATCAGAAGTTATCAAAAGTCACTGAAAAATATACTCAGTACTTTGACTATAGTCTCTGATAACTGAATAGATGTTTTAATAGCAAGATTAAGATGTTGAATAACTAGATATAATCATGATTGAACAATTAGTAAATTATTCCTGTATTCAAAATTATAGTAGCAGTTTTCAATGCAATACTTTATACTTATAATATATATATTTTCAGATAAAAATTACATCAATCAACAGAAGATTGAAAAATTAATTTTTCAAGATAATAGAGAAATAATCTATAAGTGATATTATACAGTGATTCTATCTTAAATATTATAATTAAAGTAAATTGTTTCTGTATTACTAATAAATAGAAACTGTTTTTTCTCAGATACTCTGTGAAGAGTTTACTGAGAATGTCTTATTTAGATTTAATATAAGCTATGTGATAGTTGATTAATTCAGATGTTAGCAGAACTTGGCAGAAAGTAGTAGTAGTTTATATTAAGTTAGCTCGGAGTGAAGTGTCTGAGTTTACTAAGATAAGATATGTAGTAACATCTGTTAATTACATTACTCTCTCTACTCTTTATTATTATTGTTGTCTTTAACATCTTATAGTACTCTCTATTACTTTTACTTCATATCTCTATCTTTATCTTATTACTTACTGTTATCATCTCTATTATCTCTATCACTTCTATTATCTTTATCATCTCTACTATTACTGTCTCTACTATCTCACAGCTCTTTCTATTACTTTCACTTCATATCTCTACTCTACTCTTATCTTATTACTTACTCTCTTATTATCTCTATTATCTTTATTATCTTTACACTTCTTTTACTCTGACTTCTTCTTATTATCTCTTATCATCTCTATTATCTCTTTCATCTCTATTATCATTACTGTCTCTACTATTTCATAGTACTCTCTATTACTTTCATTCTCTATCTCTACTCTTATCTTATTATTCTACTTCTCTCTTATTATCTCTATTATCTCTCTCATTTCTATCTTCTCTATTTTCTCTCTTTATTATCTTTTTCACTCTCTAGTCTCTCTATTATTATTATTATCTCTACTACTCTACAGTCTCTTCTATTACTTTTACTATCTTTACTTCTCTCTTTCTATCTCTATCATATTTTAATCTCTGTATTTATAGTATATACTATTAAATACTCTGTAATAAAATCTCATGTAATATTATATATATCTCTTTAAATTTATAAATAGAATTAAATAACTGATTCTATAGTTTGTACAGCTCTGATTAATCTGATAATAATAATAGAGATAATACAGAGTAAAAGAGAGTAGTAGAAAAAGTAAAGATAATAATAATAATAAAGAGAATAGAGAGTGAAAGAGATGAAAAAAGTAATAATAGTAAATAAAGATAGAGAATGAAAATAATAAAAAGAGTTATAAAACAGTAGAGAGAATAATAATAATAAAGAGAGATTATAGAGCAGTAGAGATAGTAATAATAATAGAAAGAGTAGAAGTGAAAGAAGTAATAAAAGAGTAAAAATAGAGAGTGAAAGTAATAGAGAGAGTTATAAGATAGTAGATATAATAATAATAATAAAGTAAGTAAAAGATGAAAGAGATGAAAGAGATAATAAGAGATAATAAAAGATAATCTAAGAGAAGAGTGAAAGTGATAGAGAGATAGTGAGACAGTAGAGATAATAATAATAGTAGAGAAAGCAGAGAGTAAGAGATAAAAGAGATAGAAGAAGTAATAGAAGTAATATAAGATGATACAGAGTGAAAGAGAGTAATAGAGAGAGAGAGTAGAGATAGTAGAGATAATAATAGTAGTAGAGAAATAGAGAGTAAGAGGTGAAGAGGTAGAAGAAGATGATAGAG